GGCGCGCAGGGCAGGCAGCGGGGCCGGTGCGAGCCTTCTGGACTCGGAGCACAGGAGCGTTTTTGCTTCCCGACCCCCTTTCCTCCAGCTGGGAGCGTGCAGCCTTGTCCCCCCGGCAGCCACCTCGCAAGACAACAGATCTGCCCACGTGCAGCCGCAGGCACGCCCTGCCTGCACTGCTGCCAGGCTGCGGGCAGCTCTTTGCCAAACAGCCCCATGTGCACACAGCCCCTGCCCTGGGCTGCAGGATGGGCACCGGGGGCCGCATCCAGCCCCAGCAGACTCGCAGGAGCTGCTCTGACACAGGCGGGCTGGGGAGAGGGGCCCTGCAGGGCGGCACAGCCCGGCTGTGGGGACAAGCAGGAGGGCAGGGAGCGAGCCGTGCTGCCAGCGCAGGGGAGCTGGGCACGTCTGCGACAAGGGGCCAAGACCCTCAGGGAGGGACGGGGAGCCAGCCAGGCAGGAATCGCTGGGCACGGATGACTCATCCAGAGAAGGTCCTGGGCTCGCCAAGGAGAGCCCGTCCCTGCCAGCAGCCGGCTGGCACTTCCCCTGCCACCCGAAGGGACGCGGGACTCAAACGGAGCTCAGGAGCGTTTGGACGGAGCCGCGGGGCCGCACGAGGGAGGGAGCGCTGAGCCGGCTCTCGGCAGCCAGCTGAAGCAATTGTGCAACCCACGAAGGCAAGCGGAGGTGCAGGACCTCACCTTCCTCGCTAAGAGGCCACAGCCGGCCCCTCCAGAAATCACCCACCGCCACCTCAGCATCTCCTCTTGCACGACTGGGCCGCAGCCGCCCCAAGGGCCCGGCCCGGGCGGCCGCCTGCAGCTGCACCAAGGTTTTAGGAACAAGACAACAAACTCGCAAGACATGTTTTTCTGTGTAAACAAGGACTTGGACCTTCCAGCCACAGCAGCCACCCCAGGGTCAGGAGCCTGTCGGAGACTTTGGACTTCGCCAAAGCCCCTCCCCAGGGGCTCCAAGGAGAAAAGGGAGCCCCACGCACGGCTCTCCCTGTGCACCACCAGGGACGAGATCAGGCCCATCAAAAGCAACAAGCAGGAGACGGAGCTGCGGAGCCAACACCTTCACCGCTGCCCTCAGCGTCCCGCTGTCAGCATCCTGCTGCCGGGCTGCAGAGCAGTGAAGGGGACGGAGGAGCGCGGTGGCAGAGAGGAGATGGGGATGCTGCTCAGAGACCTGGAAAACCACAGGTCCAGGTGCTCCCAGCAGAAAGCCCCTGGCAGCATCGCAGAAACCACACACAGGTGCCCACGGACACTGCTTCAGCCAAGGACAAGCAGCTGGAGCACACCAAGGTCGTGCCGTACCCTGCTCCCGACCGACGCGCAGCCCCAGGCTCGCTGCAGGCACGTGCCCCAGCGCACTCCGAGGGCTATCGGAGCAAACCTCGGAGCCAGCTCCAGCGCTGGCACAGGCATGTGTGCGGAGGCCGGCACAGCAGAGAGCACCCCTGCCCTCACCGCCCTTCTGAAGGGAAAGCTGCAAGCTGGTGGGCACTGAAAAGACAGCGGGGTGCTCAGCGCCGGCAGCCGGTCCTGGATCCACCTGTAAACCCCCGGAGTGGGGACTGGCTCCGGGAGCGTGGGCACCCCGGTGTGCCCCACAGCGCAGGCAGCGAGGAGGCAAATGGAAAACAGCACGTGACGGGCAGGAGGGCCGGCAGCA